GAATCTGCAAGCCAGGCCCTGCCCCTCCCATACCTCCCTAGTGAGGTTGGTGAATCACTGCCTTAGGAATTTGGCATCTTGGCAAGAAACGGTGAAGTCATACCGGACCTCCCCAATCCATTCATCTTCATCTGTCATCCTTGTTACAAAAAAGCCAATGCCTCATTAAACAGAAATGAGTACTGGGTATACGGCTCCCCTTGTGTTCAATAACTGCATACAGGAGTACACAGAAGGTGTATCAAAATCAGCAGGAAAGAAGCGAGAGTCGTCTCACGCACTGAATCAACTCGCTATGAAAAGCTTACCATCTGATTAAGTATTTATTGCTTGAGACAAAATTTTGAAGACAGGCTCTTTAGGCAAACTTGTCTGAAATACCCTTAAAGTATTCTAAAGCAAACAAAAGAGAAGAATTCACCCAGAAGGATGTCAGAAGTCTTTTCATCCGCGAGATGCTCAGTGATAAGTGATTTTTATAAAGATAAAATGTAATTGGAAGTGCCATTAGACAAATTGGTTTAAAGACAAGTCCCTTAATTGCAGACAGTAGGTTTAAGCACAGCTTACTGGTTAGGTGCATGGATCTCAGATAGTTTAGCTTTCGGTGCATTGGTTTCCTGCAGACTGGTCTTTTACTCTTTATATGCTGGGGGGATAGAAATAGACCCTGGAGACTATGCCTCGGACTGGGCCAGGGGCCAGATGGAACTGATGCATCATGTCCCCAGCTCGGGCAGCATCGGACTCAAAGCAGTTCAGCACCCTCAAATCACTAGTTCTTCCTGATTCTTCCCTCTCAGTCCCTGAGTATGGGGAGCATCTAGGAAGCAGCTAAACTGCAGACACCTAACTCAGAAATTCTCAGTCAGCAGGTCAGAGGTGAAGCTGAGGAATACAGACTTTGGGCGAGTATCAGGGGAACGTTGCAGGTGATCCAAGAACCTTGCTTAAGCATAAGCACCCTTTTGTGTTTTGTTTTCAGAGCAAAGGACCAAGGGTAAGAAGTTGAGTGGTTTTCAAACATGGCTGGTAAAAAGTACGAAGCTGGGCGCCTGCACCTCCCTAGAATCCCTGAGATGAGCCGGGTGGGCCAGCGTCAGTATGAGGGTGATTCACCTTCGGTGTGAACCATGAGGCTGCGTGATGCTGGGCCTCACCAGTTGCACTCTGGGCGTCCCATGGGGAGAGCAGAAGCACGTGTGGGAAGAGGGATCCAAATGCAGCTGGCCTTGACTGGCACAGCATCGGGCGGAATTAGATGGGGGTGCTGACCATCAGGGCCACGGGAGTTTGGGGCAGGAGAGGCCATGGGGGTGGGGGGCAGTTGGGTCTTCAGTTGTGCTTTGAAGGGTGAATGCAATTGTGATCATGGGGCAGGAGCTGGGAGGGTGTTTCAGGGGGGCGGGTGTGACAGAGGCCCTGACTGAGGATGAACATGGTTCCTGGGAAACCTAGTGTGGAGCCTTGGCCTGGCCGGGGACATGGAGGGCAGGAGGCACCTGCTGGGCTGGGCCAGGCTGGATGGCCCGGAGCTCTGAGTGGGGCAGGGAATCCTCATGGGACCTGCGTCATGACTTGTGCTTTAGGGAGATGTCGGTCGGGAGTGCAGATGGATTAGGAGGGTGGGTCCCGCTGTCCACCCAGTAAGAGATGAGTTCCCACACTGGTGCCGTGAGCAAGGGGGCAGAGAACATGAGAAGTTTATGGACAGAAAGATAAAACAATAGAAACTCAGAATGGCAGACTACGTACAACTTGCTCCAGATCTGTTATGAGCTATGACTTCGTATTAAGATGTCAACAAGATATAAAAACGGACACTGAAAGTTACTAATGATCTGGGCTGCCCAGGCCCGCCTCACTTGTCTACCATGTTGGAGAAAGATGGGGATGATGGAGTCAATTCACTGAAAGCTGATAATTCCCCATGATTTTAACCTTTTTCCCAGTGTCCTCTCTTTTTACCAGATCTACCGAGCTAAGCATTATTTTAAATAATTCATTTTCATTTCCCACACCTATTTAATTTATGACTGTGTAGAGTGAAACAACCAGAAAGGAGATGCAGCATCTTCTTTCTTGAGCAATGAAAGCAACTATGTCCACTGGTTCATTCATTACTTCTTTACCTATTCTGATAGAATTCCTGGTGTCCCCTTGGCCATTTTCCTAGTGAAGAAACCAAGTAAGCTTTGCTGCAGTAGCGGTGACAGGAAGTAGTTTGGTAGGGTGTGTGCAGGAAGTCCTAGGTTACCGAGATGGGTGGAACTCAAGGTAATCACTGTTCGTTCCAGGTAGACCATTCCATGCTTCCTTCCTGGCTCCGCTTCCTCCTGCCCAAGCGAGTGAGCACCTAGCTGACTTAGATCTGCAAAGGAAGGAATAATGGGTGGAGCATTCCTGGGTAGAAACCCTTAACACTTCCGTACACATTGCATTTGCTAGGCTCGTGCGAAAGCTTCCAAGAGTCAAGGGAGTGGACCCTTCAGTAACAGGAACTGGACAGAGGGGGGTGAGTTTCTACATCTCAGCCACTTTGCAGCAAGCACCATTGGTCATTCCCCTGAACGCGGTCACCTTGTGTCTTGTGTTTGGGCGCTGGTGACAAATGGGGAGCCATTGTGGAAGAGTGTGAGGAAGCCCCGTGGTCATGACTGGCTGGCATTTTGGAATTGGGGAGCGATCTTCTCAGGCCTTCTGGAATTATTAGCCTTCCCTGTATCTCAGCTCTAGGATCCACAGCGTAGTATCCACACACCCACAGCTCCATGATCCTGAACTTTTTATTCATTGTATGCTCCCATTCTTCCCATCTCGAGACTGTCTATTTCTGGGGAAGGTGAGAATTCATCCCACAGCAGAGCCTCATAGCGTCAACCCGTTCTGTAAACATGTCGTGAGCCTCTCGCTCTGTGAACCGGGCGCCCTACAAGATGCCAAAGATGGAATGACAGATTATCCGAGGTCCTTGTTCTCCAGAAGAGGAGACAGCTACGTAAACAGGAAGCGCCTTTGGGTGTCTTCAGAGTCTGGTACCATCATCTGTAAAAGTGAGATGATAATGCGTCTATGCCACAGGCTCCTTGTGAGGATTAAATTGCAAAGCGCTTAGAACAGTATCTGGCACGTAGTAAGCACGGGGTAAGGGCGGCTGGGTTAATTCTGTCATCTGTTGCCACTCTTGCTATTAGTGCTGACTTCCCTCCCGCCCCCAGTAGGCCCGCAGGGTGCAGGATGGAAGACATGAAGTAAGGACTCAGGAGGCTTCTTCACAGGGGTCATAGTTGAGTTGGATCCTGAAAGGAGAGGAGGAAGTGACCAAGAAAAGAAAACAGAATGGAATATTACAAACTGAGGGAAAGTGGCGCAGGCCCCAGGGGGTGCAAACATCAGGTAGTTCGGGGAACCCAGCGGTTCTGGAGGGAAGGAGAGGCCTGGCGTGCGCACCTTGGGTTTCCCTGTGAGACAGGAGAAGCTGAGTGAGAGGAGCCTTGAGGAGACCGGGGAAGACTGTGACAGCCCCATGTGGAGAAGGTGAGGGACGAAGGCCACCGTGTGGGATGCAGGGGAGGGTGGACACCGACTTCGGGGGCTGACAAATAAGTACAATCCACAGGAGAGAAACAGTAAGGCGATTCTGATCTACAGCCTTTCAGATATGACAGGAGAGGCTGTTTTAACAAGAGAACCAGAGCAGACTTCAGGAGGTAAAGTGAGAGTGGAGAGAGAGAACTCAAACACACACAGGCCATGGAAGCCATGGATGATATGTCAGGGAGGCGGGATTTATTTATTTATTTATTTATTTATTTATTTATTTATTTCTGTTTCTGGGCTTTCAACAAAGGAGGGACATCACGCCCTCAGGATGTCACTTGGGCAGAACTGTGGGGGTTAAACTATAGAAGGCCACACCCGAAGCAGACAGATAATTGGAGAAAACTCTAAGTCCCCCAGAAGGGAGCAAGACTCAGAGCCCCATGGTGCTCCCTGATGTGGATCCCCGCTGTGAAGTTGAGAGCGCTCTGTCTGCATCACACACATGCCCTTCGGCCTTCCCCCTCCCCCATCTTGCTCTGGGTGGCCATGTTTCTCCTCAGCAAGCCTGCAGCCCACAAGACCCAACCATGCCACCCAGCAGGGCTAGATCATTTCCTGGAGTTTACAAGGTCATCCCAAAGATGCCCCAAGGGCTGGTCTGCCCTGAAGCTCCCCTAAATTGGGAGCCACTATCATGGAACCAAGGAGCTTTGGGTGTGTGCACAGCCCACCAAGGCCCAAGCATCTGGTGTAGCCTCCCTCCAGTTTGAACGGCCCAAATATGGATGCCACATGCGTGGGCCGACCAGCCCGGCTACCGTGCTCAGGCAGACTTCACGGAGGTCAAGTGTGGGTGTGAAGAGATAAGCTAAATAGCACATGGACCATGGAAGCCTTGCTTACACACGGAGCACCTGAGGCCCATGACCACGGATCCTCATAAAGCATCATCCCCGAATTAAGGATAGCAGCACTGATGCCGCTTGCGCAGGGACATGCTATTAGTGGACTTGAACCGAAGGCTGGCTTCCTAGTCCCGTGCCTGGTAGATAAAGTTCTGGCTGGAAAGGATATTTGCACATGACAGTGGTAAAATTGTAGACACACGGCATTTCCTAGAGCGGGTCTTTAAAGTTCCACGGGTTTCCGTGATCATGTAGAGTGCATTCGTTTCCCCTTCCCGCCGCTGGCGAGCCTTCCTTAGCCTGACGGCTGTGTGGCCGACGTGGCTACTCCCTGGGTCCCTGAGCACCCTGGAGGCCGCACGCTTGGGGCAGGAGACCAGAGTGGGCGGGGGCTCCGTGGCAGCGCTGACCCTGCTGGTGTCTTCAGGTGGTGTGTGTTATCTCAGGGCCCGCGTCGGAGCCCACGGTCCCCAGGCGGGTACGGGTGGTGTTCTGGGTCTCTTCCGGGATGCCCCAAACTCACGTGTGCCTCTCGCCCTCCTTGTGCTGCAGATCCTGGCGCCCCTGTGAAATTGCCTTGTCTGCCAGTGAAACTGTCCCCTCCGCTACCTCCAAAGAAAGTCATGATCTGTATGCCTGTAGGGGGGCCAGAACTCTCCCTGGCGTCCTACGCGGCCCAGAAGAGCGGCCAGCAGAGCGGGGCCCAGCACCACCACACGGTCCTGCCGTCCCAGATCCAGCACCAGCTGCAGTACGGCAGCCTCGGCCAGCACCTGCCCTCCGCCACCGGCTCCCTCCCCATGCACCCCTCCGGCTGCAGGATGATAGAGGAGCTGAACAAAACGCTGGCCATGACCATGCAGAGGCTGGAAAGGTAACTGGTGGGGGATGGGCGGGAGGGGGTGGTCTTGGCGGGGGGTTGGGGATGTGACCATGACTCAGGAGTGTCAAGACCAGGGTAAGGGCTCAGTCTTCACTGGGGCGGGAGTAGTTTGAACGTAAAATCAGACCAAACACTGAATGTCTGGAAGAATTAAGAAATGTTGCCTATTACTGAACGATATAACAGTCACATTTATTGTAAAGAAAAAGTGGGGCGTCTGGGTGGCTCAGTTGGTTGAGCATCTGACTCTTGATTTCGGCTCAGGTTATGATCCCACGGTTGTGAGATCAAGCCCCACGTCGGGCTCTGTGCTGACAGCATGGCACCTGCTTGGGATTCTCTCTCTCCCCCTCCTCCCTCCCCCTTTCTTTCTCCCTCCCCCCCCCCGTTCTCTTTCTCTGGAAGAAAAAGAAAAAGTGACATGTATGTATGTATACACACATGTACTGTATAAATAGCACGTGTGGGAATATATAAATACATAGATACACATTTTTTTTTAAATATTTTTATTTATTTCTAGGAGAGAGAGAGAGACAGTGTGAGCAGGGGAGGGTCAGAGAGAGAGGGAGTCACAGACTGAAACAGGCTCCAGGCTCTGAGCTGGCAGTCAGCACAGAGCCCGACGCGGGGCTCGAACCCACGAACCGCGAGATCATGACCTAAGCGAAAGTCGGACACTCAACCGACTAAGCCACCCAGGCACCCCAATACACATTTAATATATATTAAACTCATGTTTATAATGTGTTATATAGTATATGAAATAATTTAATATAAACTGTTAAATATATTTAATATAAAATTTAAACATAAACATATTAACATGTGTATTTATATGTGAGTATATAGAAGTACATAAATATATGAAAAGAGTAACATACATGTGTTTTATTTAGGACACATATGCTTCTATAACTCAACATGTTTTGAGACTATATACATTTAATTATTAGTAGTGGCTATCCCGCTGATGGGAAGATGGAAAGAATTCTTTTACTTTCATATCTCATATCTTTCTGTACTGTTAATTTTGCATTTTATGTATATTATCTTTATGACAGAGAAAGATGATTTGAATATAAAATAAGAAAGAATGAGAGCCAGCAGTACAGTGGTGGAGAGGTAGCGGGCGGGGAGAGGTAGAAAGGCACGCCCTTGTTCTTGCCGATGAAGGAAGCAGGGTGCTGGAGTCCAATTATTGAGCCATTACTGTTTAGCCACACCTGATGCAGCCCCTTCCTTCTCCAGAACCCTCCTCTGGTAATGTTGCTGGGAGATCTGCAAAGAGAATCTGAAGGACTCGTTCTGAATTGTGTGTCTTTGTGTGTGTGTGTGTGTGTGTGTGTGTGTGTGTGTGTGTGTGTGTGGTTGTGCGCGTGTGCGTGCGCGCTCAAATACCACTCCACGTCTGCCACATCTCCCCGACGATTCCAATGCATGTTGCTTGACCTAGTTCCCTAGCATCCCAAGAAGAAAGTGTTGCTCTCCTCTGTGCAGGAGGTGTCTGAGGCTGGGACTGTCTGTACCCATCGCAGAGTAGTGACAGCTGTCAGCTGGGATCTGCAGTGGGAAAACTGCAGCCTGGAGGGCCTGCTGGTCACCCACCAGAGGGCCAGAGGCAAGATGGCCGTCGTCAGCAGCTCTCTGTTCCAGTGTCCAGCCTCTCGGCCACGTATTCCGGGTTTGGGTTCTACGTGATTCCAGAGGAAGTGGTCGTTGCTAGGAATTCTGACCTGATTATGCAGTGATATCCCCCTCACTGAAAAAAGATTGCTTTGGTCCCTTGGTGTCCTTTTCAACTACTATTATTGCTAATAAGGAAGGTAGTCATTTCAAATTTGGATGGTACTCTTTAGTCTTTGATAGACCGTTATTATCATCTTAATCCTCACATCAGCTAGGGCGGCTGGGTTAGTAGAGAAACTAAGGAAGGCTGCGTGACTTCCCCAGTGCCGGCTTCTCAGATGAGGGGTCCACAGAGCGACTACTTGCTGGCCATCTGCAACCCTATGGGTACAGAAACTGAAAGCAAGCGTTGAGACACTTAAAGTGATTTGAGAATGATTTTATGCCTGTTAAATATGGTCATAGAAAAGGGTTTCATTTTTTATGTATTTTCTGTTACATTTTAAAAAAGCATCCGTTTATGATAGATTGAAAATTAAAATGTATAAATATCCCAGCCAACCAGCCAACAAACTGCTCCTTCCTCATACAAGTTTTGAAAATACTGTCCCAGGAAATAAGTCCAGTGGCCACATCCTCAAGCCTGGGTCTTCCTAATTCAAATCCAGAACTCTTTCTGTAGTAAGACAACTGTTTTCCTGAAGACAGCTCATAGTCAACATAATTCCCGATCTCCACGCCTACTGTATACCCAGTAAGTCTTTGCATCTCATAGGAATTTTAATCAATGACCAAAAAGATTCTCGCAGGAACTCGAGACAGCATGTTACTTGCTAAATACGTCTCAACTCAAAGTATGCCATTTTAAGAGGGTCCATGGAAAGTACTAACCACCCGACACTATTCTTCAGTAATTTCTGTGCATATTTGTAGAACATTTCCGTTGAGGGTAGACCAGTGGATAGGTCTGCTGGACCCAAACCAGGTCAGGTTCTTTACCAAAATGAATCAAAGAGAATAGATTTGTTCTCTTCCATAATATCACAATATAACATGGGCACAGGGCATGGGAAGGGGAACAGCATGACCCAGGCAGTCCACTGTGCTCTGTGCCATCCTCAGGGATTCTAATTATTTCCTATCTCACCCCCTTCCTGCCTTGGGTCCAGACACAGAGTTGTTCTGATAGACCAGCCAGGACATAGAGAATTCATGTATGTATCACTCTGACAGGATCACCCATCAGAGAAAGAGAGGCCTACCACCCAAACAAGTAAAGATGGAGAGATTTGGGGGCACCTGGGGGGCTCAGTTGGTTGAGCATCCAACTCTTGATTTTGGCTCAGGTCATGATCTCACGTGGGTTTGAGCCCCTCATCGGACTCTGTGCTGACAGTGCAGAGCCTGCTTAGGATTCTCTTTCTCTCCCTCTCTCTCTGTTCCTCCTCAACTTGGGCTCTCTCTCTCTCTCTCTCTCTCAAAATAAATAAATAAACTTTAAACATTTCTTTAAGAAAGATGGAGGGATTTTTCTGAGCCCCTGTGTCTGGGTCTTCCGGGATTCCTAGAAGGATCTGACGCATTGAGGTCACAGACCACCTTTTAGTTTAGTGCGGAATCTATTGCTGTGTCCGGTGGTGTTGCCCTTCTTTTTTACTGCCTAAAAAGCCTCCCAGTGGCCTGTCAACTTGATTTCATTCTTGCTCTGACCAAATTTAACACAGAAAGAAAGAATTATTTCTCTTTTCTCCATGCAGTTTTCGGTGATCCCAAAAAGCAGTGCAAGGAGGAAGAAAGACTCCTGAGCACTTGCGCATGCCACCAGCAAAGACGGGGCCTCATGGGATGTCACATGTCGGGCGTGGGTGCAGACCTGTCATCTGATCCTGATGGTACAGTGCAAGTAATGCAGACATGAAATGAGGAATTACGCAGCGTTCATGCCAGACTTTGGGCCATAAATCTGAATGAATAGTCATGTTAGAATTGAAAGGGACCATAAAGAGCATCCAGGTAGCCAGCCCACTGGATGGCCAAGTGTCCCTGACTGCTGGTCCTCCATTCCTCATGAGAACAGGAACCTCCCTAGGTCCCAAGAGAGGCCACCCCGTTGTCAAGAAGGCATGATTATCACAAAGCTATTTCTTACATTAGGTTAAAAGTTTTACCTCTCGGGGCGCCTGGGTGGCTTAGTCGGTTGAGCGTCCAACTTTCGCTTAGGTCATGATCTCGCGTTCGTGGGTTTGAGCCCCGCGTCGGGCGATGTGCTGACTGCCAGCTCAGAGCCTGGAGCCTGTTTCAGATTCTGTGACTCCCTCTCTCTCTGACCCTCCCCTGCTCACGCTGTCTCTCTCTCTCTCTCTCCTAGAAATAAATAAAAACATTAAAAAAAAAAAGTTTTACCTCTCATAACTTATACCCCCTCAACTAGTTTTATTTCTAGTCTTCCTTTCCTGTGAAAAGCCTCCAAAGCTTTGAAGGTAGCTACCACTGACTTTATTAAGGGGTTCCCTCTTCCACATGAATAACCCCAAACTCATTATAATAACCATTTATTGAGTTGGTTTCTAGACCCTTTACCGTCTTATTCATGGTCTCCCAAGAATACTCTAAATCCGTTCCAAATCTGTTCTTACTCGTTACTCTAACCTGAACTTGCTCAGTGACACAAAAATGTGCGTGTAGTCGGTTATTCACAGCATTGGCCCACCCATTCAGGGGGGAGGGGTGCAGGAGGAGGGAAGGAACTACAAACTAAGCTGAAGCAAACTTAAAGAGTGCCATATTTATCCGAGGTCACAGGGCTGCCCTCGCCAGTGTGGCCAAGCTGGGGGTGACCCCCGTGTCCCAGTAAGCACCTTGGATCCAAAATCGTAAACTGCTGGGCTTTCAGCCTCAGACACCATTTCTTTTTGCCTTTGATTGTTCATCCATAAAACAAGGATAATGACACCACCACCAACCTCATTAGGGTTACTTATGAAGAACAAGGGGCTCAATCCATCCAAATCAGTCGTCTTACTGCGTGGCATGCACTGAAAGCGTCCAAGAGACAGTAGTCAATGTTACACCAAATTCCATAGAAAGTCACCCTTCAGTGGCCCCTAAAAGGCATATTGCAAATAGGTTTGATCCGATCTTATTGGAGATTTTGTTTGTGTCGGTTTCCTGAAACCACATGGCCATGGTTTTCTTTCCTGATGATTCATATCTTTTTGGAAAGTGATGTTTTATCATTCCAGGTATCATGCAGTTTTTAATATCTTAGTACGCTCTGTGATCTAGTTGACATAAATCCTGGAATTCGGTCCTAAAATCCTCATCAGCCACGAATTTTCTCATCTTAATTCCTTGTCCTCTGG